ATAGATCTTAAGTTATTTAATAAGATAGAAAGCGACTATAGATTCTACTCTTTCTTTCTACGGTCTTCGGCTACTTCTACTATAGATCCTAAAACTTATCCCTCGGATAGAAGTAATAATTAAATAGATCTATAGTATAATTAACGAGGCTATAGTAGCCTCTTATACTATATATATCCTTAAATAAATAGAATCTATAGCTAATTATTATTCGGAATTTAAGAAGCTAGTAAAGAAACTAGAATATACGAATAATAATATCTTTAAGGATATATTCTATAACGAATTAAAGAAGGAAGTTAGGAAGGAAATAATAGAGCGTATAAGGATTTAGCTAGGAATTTAGAGTAATTCGTCTAACTACCATATAACGAGGATTCTAAAGCTAAGGAGAGAAAAGAAAAGAGAAAATCTATCTACTATACAAATAAAGGAAATACTCCCTATCCTCTCCTATAGTAGGTTAGTATAGTTTCCTAGGAGATAATCGATAGGGAGGAGTTACGTAGCTTCGGCTATATAGTTATATAGCCTAAAGATATACTACGAGTAATCGCTCTAGGGCGTACTCTAGAGCTTTATACGGATTTAATTCGTAATAATAGGTATCGCTTAGTCTTAATATCTTCCTAGTTAATACTCTAGTACCTACTCTATTAAGGAACCCTACCTTTAGTTAGAACTACTTATAGCTCGGATTATAATATATATCTCCTTCCTATTATAGGACTTAAACTATCTCCCGATTACTATAATAGAAGTAGAGCTAGAGGGCTAACCTTTTTCTTACGAGTAAAATTAATCTCTATACCTATAGCTATTATAAGAGTATAAGTAACTTAACGAAAATACTAAGATAATCGATTAAGTACTATATAGTCCTTAGAACATCGACTATAAGAACGTAAGGAGTCTAAAAACCCCGTATACGATCCGTATAGCCCCTAAGGCCTTATATACTGTGCCCCTTAGTGTTTCAGTACTAGTCTTGGCATAGGATGGGTGCTTCTAGGGTCCACCGTAGTCCTGTCCCGTAATAGTTATCTTATTAGCTTTAGTACCAAGTTATAAAATCGAATGAGTTCCATGCTATTACTGAAACGTTGCACGAGAAGTCTGGCCAATTAATCTTTATAGATATTCTTAGTGCCAAAATTCTATTTCTTACTAAGAGCTTTAATGACAGCCTCTTTGATCACTGCCGAACTATGTCCATAAATGCCCGCAGAGAGCTCGCCCAAGAAATCGAGTGATCATGGCCATCGACACCGAACAAGAAAGCCGACCCACCACGCGCAATTGTCAAGGGAAAGGGTGCGGCGTGAATCGAGCTGCGTGTATTGGCGCCAGGCATGGCCTCGCATTCACGATTGTATGCTTTAAACGACTTTGGATTGAGTTCAGCATCGCGCTTCTACGCATCATCGAGGTCGGCTTGGAGATTCGGGTGGTCATTAGCCACAGATGCTAAGATTGTAATGCTCATGGAAGGCTGAATTCGACAACGTCCGTGCGATACTATTATTGCCGCTACCCACTTCGATACATAGAACCATACAGTCAAGTTTCCATGTTCCATGGTATAGCAGATCTCTTAAAGCTCGAGACGGCGCTCTCGGAGTGTCCAAGCGAAGGTGAAATCCAGCCATCTGCGGAAAGAGGTTCCGTCGCGGGCTATCTCATTGATTCCGCTCAATCCCTCGTGTAGGATTGCGCTTTATGCCCGACAAACATACCCACTGTCCAAGTCGTTCCGGTGCCCCTTTAGAGAGACCTCGAGGTTACGGTCGTGTTCAACTTTGTCGCCGATGGAGAATCCGGGATGTCAAGCAAACCAGCCCCGGATTGCGCTCAGGATATGTGCACCCATTGTGTGCTCCACTGCTCGACTGAAAGACGAGCACGTCCTTTGCACCAGCCGTCCAGCCTGTCTGTGGCCTTCCTTACCATCGCAGTGTGTGGCAGTCTATCTCTTCCACATCACACTGGGCCTTGCTAAGAGAGATAAATGTTGTGAAAGAAGCTCCGGACCCATTTTCCGAAGAATGTAACTTCTGTCATCTTGACTTCCACTTGTAAGAAGGTAACGACACAAATGGCTGTGCGGGGATTGCTTTGTGTACTTGAGATCCAGCAGGCCCGTTCGATACAGGTCAATTCAGTAATATCACGCAAGAACAAGCAGCTCCGTTGCACCTGCGGCTTCAGTGCTATTACAAATAGGATTTCCAGTTGGCGACTGTTGTGACCCGGAAAATCCAGCACAACCGAGCTTACAGCAATTCAGCACACAGCCTCTGTCAGCTTTCGCTCTTATCCCAGCACAGCACAACCGTAGTGAAAGGAAAGAATGATGTATTTCCGGTTGAGCAGGGTATCCAACAAAATTACGGCACCTCCACAGTACTCTGATTTGCCCGCGGGAGAGTCTCAGTAGGAAGATGTGCGCGATACTGACTATGAGTGTAGCAAACTATTCCTTTGGAAACCGACTGCAAGACTTGAGACATCCTGTTCAGGGTGTCATCTCCCACAGGATTGGGGGTTAAAAAATAGGCATAATTCGCGTCCCCCGGAACGCAGATCCCTATATAGTCCTTTGATTACGCCAATTGGAAAGAAGGTGTAGGAAGTACCAAGAGCCATCTTGAGAGGATGATCAGCAAGATAAGGTACCAGGAATTCTGACTTTCAGCACACGTTACTACACGCTGAACGGGACGGATAATCATTCATCCACGCTGGAAGCTTGACTTCTTTCTAATATCACATACCCCGCTCCACCGTGATCTTGTTGGATTCCACGTTAGTTCACACAATCCATTCTAGTCTTGGCCGCCAGCCAAATGGAGTTACTCCACACACCGAGAAATCCTCTACTTACAGCAGCCTGAAGAAGTCTGCATTTGTTGTGATAACCCAACCACTGGAGAGACATCTGCATTAGGCTTACTTCTCCACCACATGGCTTCCGTAAAGATGTTATCGACATGTGACCGTTGTAGAATGAAGAAGGTTCGATGTTTGAGTGGGTCATTGCTGCTAGCATTGCTGGTGTCGCTAATCATGGAATCACAGAGCGCGACCCTACAGACAAGGCTTGCACCAACTGCATGGTATATGTAATAATTCCAGGACAAGAAAAGCTAATCTGACATCATTTAGGCTCGAGAAGAGCGATGTCACTACTCCGAGATGAAACAGAGAGACAGGAGGACCTATGATGCGACCTCGTCGCAGTCACCGTTCAGTCAGCTCGTGTCAACCACTCGCCACGAAACATAACTTACTGAAGACTCATAGACCATGCTCTCACCTTACCCAAGAAACGGAAGAGCGACGCATTAAATGCGGTAGTGGAAACCACTAGTGTATATGCTACTACTCAGTTGAGTAGCCATTCACTAAATCCTATACAACAAGAAACGAGGCTAGATCCGCAAGACCCTTCAAATCCGCAGGTCACCGTCGAGAGCAGTCGAGTATGTATGCTCAGCCTTCTGGTTGACCTCAATCAGCTCATTTCTTACAGGCTATGAACAGTTTGCCTTGGCAGAGTAATAATGGTATGACCTAGGACTGGTCGTGACTGGTGGAGGTCCTAACTTGGTTGCAGTCGAGTCAGGAAGCTTCGCTTTTTTCAGCAAAGACCTCCTTTCTATTCTGGAAGAGCGACTTGAAAGCACACGATTCGCGAAATTGCTCGACACGCTTGAAGAGACTTCCATTAGTCGCAGAGGACTGTCGTTGGAAGGCTTGCTTACTGACCCTGTCAGCTCATTAAGCACATTCCTCACCGAAGAGCTCCCAGCCGCACAAAGGTCTCTCTATATTCAATGTAAGTTCCAGGTTAGCCCCACCCAGAGTCCGCGATTTCTTAAAACTGTCTAGGCTTTTTCGATGAGGTATATCCACTGTACCCATTTCTCGACCGCCGTGATTTCGAAAGTGTCGCAACATCGGCCGAATTGGAGCAACGTTTAGCATCTGACCATGCGTGGGCCGCAACATATTACACAGTGCTCAGCATTGGCATATCCTACGAAAGAACTGGGTCCTTCGCGGCTTTTGAAGGCCCATCGTGGACAACATTTCGCCGAGCAATGAGATTGTTTCCGTACTTATTGATCGCTCGGCCGTCTCTTTGCGTACTGCAGGTCAGTAACGAACCATAATCTCTAATTTGACCACGAGCTGACATAACAGACTATGGCATGCATGGTACGTTGACTCCAGACTGACCGAAAATGTCAATCCTGAGTGTTGACCATCTTAGACGCTGTTCACCTTGAACTACTCCAGTTGGCCGCTCGAGGGCCTTCTAGTGACTGAAGCGGCGAGGCTATGTCTTGTTCAACGTGTCGATTCCACTGACCAATTTTCCACCAATCCAGAATGGTATAGTCGAACATTCTGGACCATATATTGTCTCGAAAGAGACTATTGCTTTCATTGCTCACAGTCAATGGTAAGACGTGCGAGCTCAGGGGTAAATTTCGTGTTTTGACGGCAAAATAGACTATTAGCGAGGAAAGCATTCGCTGTCCACTGCCAACTCCACTCAAAGATGAGGATCTGACTATCTTCATGCACCTCATTTCAGTCTCTCGCCTGTCGTCCTTGGCTTGCAGTCGTCTCTTCACCGCTACAGCTCTCCGACAACGTCGCTCGCAGCTGCTGTATAATATTGATAGCATTCGCGAGTCCTTAGAGAGCTGGTGTTCATCGATTCCCGAACACTACCGTCCAGGAAAGCCACTGCGAAGCCGTGCTATATACAGGCCAGGATTCTTACAGGCTGCACTACAGCACCATTGCTGGTATCACCTTCTCTCGATTGCAGTAGCGCGTTTGGAAGCCCATCTAACCGTCAGCCGAGATGTGACCCGTCACGCTCAAGCAAAGAAAACATTGATGCTACACGCACGCGGCATCGTCAATTTGACACACCACATACCAATCGATCACTCGACTCCATTGAAGTAAGACACACATGCAGACTTCCCAAAGTGATTTGAAAGAAGCATTCTGACTTTGCAAAAGCCTTCTCGCTGGTGCTCCAGCCATCGCCACATATGTACTGTTTGATCTTGTTGCTCGCGACCTCAATTGTTCCGAGAATCTCCAGAACCAGGCCTTTCTCGAAGTTTCAGCGGGATACTGGTTGCGACTTGCCATGGCGTCGGATTCCGACTGCATTGGCAAGCTCCTCGCCCAATTTGCTGGTATATCCAGAGATCTGCTTGCTTCCGATACTCACAGGGCCTCTGCGCTAGATCATCGCTCCGGACAGGCCTTAAGCTCTTTAGAGCATTCAGCTGTCCAGTCTGGCTTTGATATAGAAGACTCTCTCAACTACCCTGGTACATTTCCCGTTTCCCCCCACCGAGAGGGAGATAATTTACATACATCTGCGGAGGAGGCTACGGAGTCAAATTCAATCACAACTGATCCGTGGTTCGGGATATGGGATTTTGGCGAGGATATGACTTGGATTGACATAGTTGGAACACCCAGATTACGTTGAGGTGGTGTAGATGCTACAGAGTAGCGGAGGTCTAACTTCCATCTATGGATACTACAAAAATTTCCATCCCATGCTCCATTCCCTTCTGATAAACCTTCCTACTTCAAATTCCTAGCTGGAGTTTTCCATTGATATGTCGCGTTCGGCCGTACAGCTTGAAAGGTCCTGGTACGAGCCGCTGAAACACTTGGTCTGGATCATAAGCGGCAGCGACGCGCCTGAGGAATTCCACGTTTTCAGCACCGTAGCTGGTAATGACATCCTGGAATTTGGCCGCGTAGTTCATGTACAAGAACGGATGGCCAACATTGTAGCGTTTTGCTTCTTCGGCAATCTGGTGAAGGTACTTCTCTTGCGTCTGTAGGACGGTGCCGTTGTGCTTGGCGTCATTCGTAGTGAAGGCGATGACTGCACAGATCAGAGGGTCTCCAGAGCCGGCGAGGCCGTAGCAATCATCCTTCAGCTTGAAATGACGCGGCAGTAGGTGGATTTCCAAGGTACTTTGGGCTATGTCCACCATCTCCGCCGCGATTTGCTTGAAAAGGGAGCAAGCTAGTTCGAGAGTTGGTTGATTAGGTCGAAATGTGATTGTGGCGAGAGCCTGATGAGCCCCGGAACCATGCTGCAAAGCAGCCAAGAACGTGGCTAGGGAGGATTGATGTGTAAGGTGTAGGGATTTCTGGTTCGCAGGGACTTCCTGAAGTTGACCGAACATAGGCGGGTCCCGAACAGGGTCGGTATAGGCCAGAAACTGGCTGACCTGGAGCTCGCCGTCCTCACTAGACAGCGCAAGGATAGTGTGACCCTTCTCGTCGGCTTCCACTTTCGGGATGAAACCAAGGAAGGCTTCGATCGCTTGCGTAAGATAGTCTGGATTCACCACTCTGAAGCCACCCCACATGCCTGAGTAGGGGTATAGTTCAAGCTCAAAGCTAGCGACGACGCCAAAGTTCGATCCTCCGCCACGCAGGGCGCGATACAGGTCGGGTTCGGAGTTGCGGTTGGCTATGAGGACCCTTCCGTCGGCAAGGGCGATTTCGAAGGAGCGAACATTGTCGATTGACCAGCCGTAACGGGCGGCGTAGAGTGATATGCCACCAGTGGACTGTCAGCACATCTCATCCTAAACAAATGAAGAGTGGCACCATACCCCCAAGGACGAAGCCGCCTATACCAACTGAAGCAGCCCTGCCGCCGACAGCGATTCGTCCCATCTTTTCCAGCTTTTTGTAGACCGTCGCCCAGCTGTTTCCACTACCGACCCAAACAGAAGTCTTTTCATTGTTCACAGAGACGACGTTCAACTTAGCCAAATCGAACTGGACTCCACCGGTGATGCTCGATTGGCCGGCAAAGTGACCATGTCCCCCACTCTTGACCGCGAAAGGTGTTTGGAATTCGGCGCAGACTTTCACTGCTTGAGCCAACTCTCCAGCATTTCGAGGCTGTACTACACACGCGGGTTTCTCAGCTTTCTGATTGCCAGACCAGAAGCTGTTACGAGTAGTCTCGTAGTGTGGACTTGTTTCGTCGAACAATTGCTCCGGAAACAGCTGCCTTAGACGATCTACCTAAGGCATCAGTTAGAAACATGTCGAGTCATTTTGCTTAGGAGCATACTGACAACATCCTCGTTCTTGCCGGACATGTTGGAGATTGGCTCCTCCTGGCTTGATTCTACCATACTCGGCCAAGCCGACCAAGGGCTGCTCGAGCGCTCTGTTATATGATCTCAATGCTTAGTTTCTCTTCCTTTGTATCTTCGGGTCCAGCCCTGGTTGCGAGCATGTCCTCTGTTAGCTGGATTCGACCCGGGGTCAACCGGAGACTCCGACTGGGAGTTTGCCGGAACCTCCGAAGTCCTCCTAGGAGCTGCGTTTACTCATTTTCACCTGTTGAGCAGACGATCTCCAAATCCTTCTTACTTGCCCTGAAGCCTTGAGTCCAGTGTAACGACCCTTGCCCGTAGGCTACGTTGCTACTTCCACGTAGAGAAGCACGATATGATTCCGAAAGAGGAGCTCCACACCATTGAGGGCGGATGTGTTGGGCTCAAGCAGTCGTCTTATTCCTCAGTTCCATAGGGTGGTCTGTCATAGAACGGAGAACATGACAGTGGTTTGAAGTCTTCCTGTCCCAAGTAGTGCCCCTCTTCCGTGGTGTGTCACGGTAGCCCAGGGTTGGTCGCTAAAGCGCACTCCGAAAAGCAGCATTTTTCGCGTTTCGGAAAGTCCGGGGAACAGCCTCACCCACTTCCATTACTTGCCTCTCTTATATACTGTTGTGCGGTTGCATGACTTTGGCTGGGAGAGGTGGACTGCCGCAAACAGTTGTCCCACGACAAACCCCTCGCGAACGTGAAGCAACAATGACGTTGATATCAAGTATTCATGGTCTACTGTCTGGGACAAGTTGGCCACCATATGCGACCATCCTGACTGCCGCGACTATCCTGTGGATTTCATATCAAGTCATCTACGAATTATTTCTGTCCCCGTTATCACCGTTTCCCGGCCCCTTCTGGGCTCAATTCACCGATTTGTGGCATGTGGCCGTGATAACATTCGGCCAGGAGCACACAACAATATATGCATTGCACGAAAAACACGGTCCAGTCGTGCGGCTCGGGCCAAATAAATTGTGCGCAACTTTCTGTCCTCTGTCCAGATCTGCTTGCTAAACAAACCCTCTAGGAGTGTCACAGATGAGATTGCGTACCGTAAAATATACAATACAGCTGCCCCATTTATCAAATCCAATTATTACGATCCTTTCAAGCTACCTGGAGTACGTGACGTTTTCACTGAGCGCAACGAGAATATGCACGGCAAACTGAGACGGCCGATCGCGACTACTTTCAGTTCCGAGGGAATCAAGGATCTCGATGGAAACATTGACGAGATTTTGAAAAAGTTTATTTCGCAGATGGAATTGTTTCAGGGGCAGAATCTTGATCTGGGGCAATGGTTTGAGCGACTCCTTTTTGGTGAGCGCACCCCCTTCGAGGTTCCCTTTCTAGACGTGACAAATGTAACTGGCAGACTGTATTTCGGAAATGGCTTTCGAACAGAATTCCGGTATGCTCGACAAGGTTTCCGAGACCAACTTGTTTGAGTGGATCTACGGAATGCTTAGAGAGGCCCATACGCTCGGTGCAGCACCCACGTTGTTTGCGATCACATCTTTCATCATGCGCTTCATCGGTCCAAAGGACCCTACTGCCAAATTCAAGGGAAATGACATCGATAAACTTATCGATCGATTCATGGAGCATCAGGAAAAAATCAAGTCCATCGGGCAGTCCCAGCGCAATCTTGCTTCAAGATTGCTCCAAGTGCAGGCTGCCAGCAAGAGCGAGGCCTTGACCGACAAGGAGTTCCGCCTTTTATTGCAAGTCATCTTAATCGCAGGTACCACCGATGCCGTTACCTGGCTCAATTCAGTTTTCTACCATCTCATCCACAATCCTGACAAGAAGGCGAAGTTGTTACAAGAACTCAGAGAAAAGCGAGTGCAGGGCCAGCTGGGCGATGTGTGCACTTCACAGCAGGCCGCTACTTGCCCATATCTAAACGCTGTTCTTCAAGAGTCCCTCCGCCTCTACCCTTCCAACGCTGGCCTTCTGCCTCGTGAAACACCAGAGACGGGGATCGAGCTCGCGGGCCATCAAATTCCTGCCGGCGTAACCATCGGTGCACCAGCATATGTGATCCAACGACTACCAAATATTTTCGGAGCTGACACGAATTCTTTCCTGCCCGAAAGGTGGCTCGAGAACCCCAACGCTGAAATGAGTATGTGGCTGCCTCAAACGACTATGTTCCACACTTGACTAACCACGTTTTAGATCGATTCATCATGGGCTTTGGGACAGGGTCGAGAACGTGCCTTGGTCGGAGTGAGTTAATCCTAATCGAGTGAGCATTGACATGCTAACAGTCTGCAGACATTGCTTACATGGAGATGAGGAAGGTACGCATCTCTACGCTACAAGAGTCTTCTAGTCAGCATTTATACGCTTACAACCCTTTGTAGATTGTGCCGACGCTTATATTAGCCCTTGATTTCCAACAGCCAATCCCAGCAAAGGATTGGACTTTTGCTAACACGTGAGTCACCTGATTTGAAAGCTCTAGCTGAAACTCTCGTCTAATACGACATTTTATAGCGGTGCGATACATCAGAACGACTTTTATGCGCGAGTCAGTAAACGCACTGACTAGCTCCGAGGGACTTTACCTAGATGCCTTTCATGTTAACGGTCTAATGTTGAAGGATTTCAAGGCTCTTATCTGGTTTTTGAGAGGCGCCAGCCCGTCTTAAATGTGTTTCGCTTTCATTGCTAGCGTGGTGAATGAGAAGCCAGCTTGAACTCGCTCGCGTCTATGAACGAACGATCAAGTCCTGCGCATTGTTTGCGCAAAAGGAATATCTTAGACTTCATGACCATGCATGCGCGCTGGCTCAAGCGAGTGAATCAAAAGAGTACGATATCCTAGGTAAAGGTAGATACCGATTCTGGTCAAAGTATCACCGCAAGCGTGGTCTTTCAACGCTTTACCAGTTTTACCGGGAAAGGCAATGAGATACATTTCGTCTCGAATTACAATATGACACGACCTGGCAAGGGCGTAGTTGGTGTTACCGGTATTCGAAAGTCCATTGTGAAAGGCGGACTGTAGCATTTTGCATCATTCTATGGTGAACACGGCTGGCACACACTCACTCTCTCTTCCCAGCTGATCCGCTTCATGAACTCCTTCCGGGTTATTTCCCCGCCAACATCTAGAACTTACTTGAGGAGGTTCTCTATAACTTCCTAGTAGCTACTCTTCCTCGATGCCGCACCTATACATACCATGAAGGCCCGGTACGAGTTTGTGATCGCTCTATATAACGATGTTGTAAGGACGGAAGAGCTAGTAAAGCGCTGCCTCCGAACTTAGCCGCAGCTATCCTCGTTAAACCTATGCAAGTTGCGGGAGGTTGTAATCTCGGAACTCCAGAGTTTCTTCACTACCTGCGCGGTCTAGCTACTATCGAGAACGCTCTCCTGATCTTCGATGAGATCATGACCTCGCGACTCGACTATAGTGGTCTCCAAGTGCCCTTGGGCATCAAGCCCGATATCGCGACCATCAGCAAGTGGGCTGGTGGTGGAATGAGTTTTGGAGCATACGGGGCGACGCGAAATCATAGAGTGTTCCATCCGAGTACTGGAAAGCTTGGCCATTCTGGAACTTTCAACAATATCGTGACGATGGCCGCCGGATTCGTCCTTGGGTATGGAAGTCTGTTTGCGATTCAATTCGACGGCTCCTAGAGTGCGACGTTGCGGGATCTATTTTACCATTATCTCCTCAGCCATTGAATTTATATCGCCTCGAGAGGGTTTCTGGCACTGACTCTAGAAAACACCGAACAGCATTACGCACGTTTGGTCAGTGTTGTTGATCAGTTCCTTGTCAAATATTCATCTACACTAGTGTAAGGATTAGTAGTGTAGCGATTTTCACACTGAAAAATAACCTCCAATATATGAAGACATGCTTATCTCTATAACATCGGAATACAATTGGCCAGCTAAAGTCTACCATAATTAAAATTATCTACAGCCACTGACCACAGCTCACGATTTTCCTGATGGACCACGTGGATTGCTCAGTCCTGTGATGTGAAGGGGACATGATCATTCCTAAGACGGCCCGGGGGACTCGTCAGACTATATAGTATCCTAAGTACGTACTAGACTAGCGCCTGGGCGCTCTCGGGTCCGCTTCGGATAACGTTCGAATAGCTCTCGGAGCTAGTTCGGATGTGTCGAAGCGATATACCACGGTCTTTACAATCGCTTGGCATCGCCAATCACAGTCCTGACAGTTCATTCGTCGGGAAACATTGGTCAACCTCGCGGCAGCTCATCCTTTGCTCTTGCAGGTACTTTGAAGTCAATACCAGTTGCTAAACGAAGAATGCGCGTGAAATCATTAATATTCTGTGACTACACCTTGTATCGTCAACGAAACAAGAGGGACTTGGGTAGCTTAGTGTTGGCGCCAAAGTGACTAGCGCAGGCAACCTCATGACGACGAGCAATGAGTCAGTGCTACAGCCTCTGGAATGCTTTGGAATCATGGAAAATAGGCTCCAGGAGGTCATTTGCCTAGTAATTTTCTATATAAACTAGAACGGTGACCATAGAGTAGAAGAAGACAGAAATCTCAACTACGCTGACTTGCCTGTATCGATTGGCCCGTACAGTTGTACAGTCCAAATCCTCCAACACTTAGGTAGTAAACGAGTGTGGAGACCGCGACAAAATGCTGGAAATTCTTCGGTAGAAGAATCCAATGCCGATCTGCCACCAGCGTCTATAAGAAGTCTATGCTCTAATATCTGATAGCGTCATAGCTATCATGTTCCTGCGCATTCATGTACCATGCCATGTCCCTGCCATCCTCCTCCCAAGAAGAGAAGCCATTGCCCAAGTATGCGAAACGATTAGCCTTCTGTGCGGTCCAGTTCCAGTCCTCCCAACGGGGCGCAGTCAGCATTTGGAACCAATGTATTCGGCTGCCCGGGTGCACCATAGGAGGACCGTCGAATTTGCCTAGAAATGATTGAGTGAGCTTTGTCATCCCTGACTCAAATCGCCAAAAGGTCAGACAGTAACTACCAGTGGATGGACTTACCTCCTTTGAACCACGAACGACAGTTCGCCGCGAAAACCGTGCGTGTCAGAAAATGATCTGCATGGTCGATGAAGTCGTCCATAGCCTCTTTCTTTGGCTCGACAGCTTTATAGCATTCGGTCTGGAATTTGAATAGAAGACGGAGGAGGTACGTGGATGTATGCTCAATGGCTGGAAAGGCAGATCCGTGGGCGAACGGCGAGTAGGGCCCGAGGTAGACTAGCAAAGCAAAATTAGTAATCACATTCGTACAGCTCACGGAGCTCCAAATCATAATGCGAACCAAAGTAATTGGGAAATTTAGGCACTGAGAAGGATAGATAAGCCGTCGGTCGCTCTTTCCAGTGCTCTGAGAGATTCATATTATTGCGGCCGATAATGGGAAAGTGGGGACGGAAGGTCACATCGAAACCGGTTGCACATATGATAATATCGAGCTCGACGACTTCGCCTGTCTTAAGCTCGATCCCATTCTCAACGATTTTGACGATGGGATCGAAGACGACACGGGAATTCTCTTCTTGGAGGGCCTCTAGATATCCAACGCCAGGGGTGGGGCGTCTAACCGTACGAAGTCAGCGTCCAGTGAAGTCTGTGACAAGAAGAGGGGTCCATACCGACACCCAACACCGAAATCTGGGATCATGCGAGCTGCTAGTTCTTCGTTCCCAAGGAGGCGGGATTTCATGAGCGCAGAAAGATAGGCTTTGGCCCCTGCTTGCTCGGGAGAATCCGCGAACACCTGGCCTCTATGTCAGCGACCGCGCAAGAATCGCAGTGCATCCGCTTTACCATCTTGAATTGGGAGTTCAAATTGGATTCGATGGCTTTCCGGTAGGTTTGTAAGACTTCAGGTTTCTCTCGGTATTCGGCCTTTTGGTCCTGCGAATCTGAGAGACGTGAGCCGCTGAACATAGTGGATGTGGACAATGTAGTAGCTTACAGGCGAAGTTTGCCCCATCGATGCCGGCAAACTCTTGTCCGAAAGTGGTCGCGATCCATGTTGGATTCCGTACGAAATGAGCGAGATGGGCAACGTCTATTGATTATCAGCTTTGGGCATGCCAGCTTTGCTTCAACATTCGTCATGCCTGGCTGAATGGCTGTCACAACCTGGATGCCTGATGACCCATTTCCGATCACCCCAACTCGTTTTCCTTTAAGCTGTACCTTGCCATCCCAGGCTGCCGTGTGCAGCTTCTTTCCTCCGAAGGCGTCCAACCCTTCGATATCGGGCCATTGCCAATGACTGAGGCCGAGTTCAGGTTCTATTTCAGCCACGGGAAAGTAGTGTTGACTCACTTCAGGAAGCCTGTACCGTTGATAATGAAATGACTCCAGTCGCTAAACACTTCACCAGAGCCTTCATTAGTGACCTTGAGCTGCCAAATACCTAGACTCTCCTCCCAGGTGGCCCCAACAACTCGGTGACGAAGTTTGATGTGTTGTTCCAGGCCATTGTCACGTGCCGCATCTTGCAAATATTTCAAGATCTCCGCGCCGCTGGCATAACTGATGAGGGTACGATGAGCGGAAACCACGTTCTTTGGGGAGAACTATCTCACAATTCGCTCCAATCTGGATTGATGGCCCAACTCATCTGATAAACGTGGGCCGGGATATCACAAGCACAGCCGGGGTATCTGAAGCGAAAGTTCCTGTTAGTTCAACGTACAGACATGAATTATAATCAAGTCGGTACCGACGTGTTCTCGAACCAAGTGCCCCCTACGCTGGCATTCTTTTCATATACCTGAATGTCGATATTGCGTAAATGCTTCTTAATCTTGTAGGTGACATCAAGTCCGGTTGCACCGGCTCCAATACACACGACTCTCAGTGGCCTCGGAGACCCGAGCACGTGGTCGTTATCATATGTTATTGTGGCCATCTTGTACTGCAATGGGAACAATTTGGTGACAAGGTGGCTGGAAGAGACACAAAGGGTGTGTTGTCTTGTAGAGAAGTGGAATTAGACTCAATCAATTGATTTTTGTGCCTCGTAATGAAATCGCAGACCGAGCTATTGCATCACACCTATATGATCGTTTTTGCTAAAGTGAATCCCCGGACCCGGCTCTGTACACACCTTCAACAGGAGAGCTTGGTCCCGGGCTCCCAGGCTTCTTACTCCAGGTACCGGACTTATATCGCTCCGAACCCCGTGGGATGTGGTTTCGAAGGAGTATTTACATGTCGCGATAAGATCACCATGCGTCTATGGGTGCGTCCTATCCAAGTAAACCGCCCGGGCGCAAGGGTCAACACCGCAATTTCCGGTCATCTCTCGGAGAGTCCGAAAGGCGGAATCTGACCGTTTCCCCGGGCCATGAAGTAGTCTCAAGGCAGTACCGTCCCCACACTCCTAGCCTTGACCTCCATCATCATAAGACCGTGGTGTCGCATTCGCATTTCTGCTCGTAGGGCCAGATGATATAATCTAACAAGTCAATTGCTTCTCAGTACATCCACCGATCGTCTTGAGCACGACATGGAGCACAAGGGTCTTGCAGAAGGCCTCGAAGATGAATTGCATCCAACGACAACCGATGATGCTCGACTAGAAGAAATCGGCTTCACAGAGGAGTTGGAGCGCAAATTCTCCGTCTGGTCTCTGGCTGCCCTCGTGCTCTGTCTGATGGGCACGTGGGAGGCAGTTGGGAGTACAATGGCGCAAGCTCTTATTGGGGGTGGTGCACCTTGTCTTATATACAACTAGTAAGTACAGGCGCTCTGTACAAGATTACATCTATTTACTATATCTACGCGCAGTATCTGGTGTTTCATTGGATCACTCTGTTCCTGCTACTCTTTGGCAGAGCTGGGGTCTATCTATCCCACTGCTGGAGCCCAATATCATTGGGTAGCAGGACTCGCACCTGAGAAATCACGTAAGACTGCTAGCTGGTTCACCGGCTGGATATGCCTTGGTGCCGCAACATGTGGTACAGCTTCAGCGGGATACCTTGCTGGCACACAGATCCAGGGGATCATCTCACTATGTGACGAAACCTACGTTCCTAAGCCTTGGCATGGAGTGCTTTTATATTTTGCTGTGCTAGCGTACTCCACAGGCGTTAATATCTGGGGATCGGGGCCGTTGTCCACCATGAACCTGGCGGCAGGTATGCTACCGGTATCCTGAGGTCCTTGAGGCAACTAACACAGGCCCAGGCATCCTCCATCTTACGGGCTATGTGGCAATCATCGTCACCGTCGCTGTTATGTCCCACGAGCAAAGCTCACATTTTGTGTTTAAAGAGACAACCAATTTGACAGGATGGTCAAACGATGGGCTTGCCTGGATGATCGGAGGGCTGACAACAGCCTACGCATTTCTTGGGTAAGGTGATAGCGTCTGCAATCACACTCAATATCTGCTGACACTTACTAGATACGACGCCGCTGCTCATCTGGCGGAAGAGATTCCCCATGCTTCACGCAATGTGCCCTTGGCAATGGTGGGCTCGACTATTGTCAACGGCATTTTCGGTTTCGCATACAGCATCATCCTCATGAAGGGGGTTCCCACCGTACTCCAACTACTTGAATCTAAGACCGGCTTTCCGTTCATCCAGCTCTACTACGACGCAACCCAGCACAAAGCTGCGGCAGCCATCATGGCCTTGGTACCGACTTTGATCGCGATGGCGGGCAATGCAGCGGGGCTCGCTTCCACTTCACGCACCTTCTGGGCGTTCGCACGAGACAAAGGAATGCCTCATTCGGACTTTCTTGCTGTTGTCAGTCCTCGATTCCGAATCCCGTTACGAGTGGTGCTACTTGTAACTATGTTGGAAGTAGCGCTCGGTCTCATTTCGTTGGGAAGCAACACGGCTTTGACAGCTGTCTTGTCGATGGCAACCACAAGCGTGTACCTGTCTTACTCTCTGCCTATCTGCTATATGTTACGTGCTCGATACAAGGGCACTACTCAGCTCTTTGGACCTTTCAGAATGCCACCCGCGGTCGGGTGGGGGGTTAACATTCTAGCTGTCGCATACTTAGTTCTCGTCATGTTCTTCAGCGCCTGGCCCATCACATATCCGGTCACGCGCCTGACCATGAACTACGATGTAGTAGTATTGGCTGGCTGGCTCATCATCGGCAGTGGGTATTACTTGCTCCGTGGTCGACACCAATACAGCAACCCCATCAGCAATGTGACGACTTTCCGTGAGTAAAAGAATGTTATATACCTGTGGATGTGTTTCATGTATTGAGTGCTACAGCGATGATGGTGATGATGATATCAATTCCCCGACCTCTTCCCTTGATGGGGACATACACGATCCACCAACTAAAACTATCCCTACATAACTACTGCGATTTTTCTATTACATGTAGACGAATTTAGTGTTTCGTTAAGGCCTAGAATAAACTCTTTACCTAGGAATTTTGGTCGCGCTCATAAGGGAAGACGACTTCGAAACCTAAGATACCTCCGTAAAAATCGAGAAAGGCATTGAGAACATGGTAAACATTTCTACCACTTACCTTATTCTTACCTAGCTTTGCTCTCCTCTCTAAGTCCAATCGATACGTTGTTGTGAATGCTTCACTAATCTTCCCCCATAGTATCTATTATAGGCTTTTCAGTCTTAGGCAGTCCACCAACACACGGAGCACCGTCTCCATTGCGCCACACTAATATTTATCGTCATCACGGAATCTATGCGTTTAGTTTGCGTTGCTAGCCACGAGTTGCTTGTTCGTAGTTGTGTCAGTAGATAAGCCCTGTTCCGCGGTAGTGAGTAGTAAAGGCGTCTTGTCCATGGCGAGGGTAGCATTATGTCGATTTGTCGAAGAGGCTCAGCATCTGGACCTAAGTGGAAGGCCTGGTGGGCCCCAGGCGAATGGACGGGGGGGTTGTTGAGGCCTGAACAGGGGGATGAGCCCTAAAAGAGGGGGTTCAGGACTTTAGCTCGGAGGTCAGGGTTGCTTTTAGCCTATTGCAACCTTTCATTGTAAAAGGGTTTCTAAAATGGTATAGCCCGTCGACTGACTCCTGCTAAACCGTAAATTATGTGCGAGCCAGGCTCGAAGTCGCCCAGGGGTGGAGTTCCCCTTGAATGACGACTACTGTCCTCCCTTTCCAGCCTAATTCCCCTTCTATATAGTATCCTATAGGTCCTCGACTCTTCCTATTCCTAAAGGTTCGTTACTAAAAGGGGTCTAGTTTATATTATAGTCTAGCTACCGTCTACTACTCTAGTTCGATATAGAAGGTTAATTATTTAGGTATACCTATACTAATTATTATTACCCTCCGTAGATAAGGATATAGATTAACTTATACTTTAAAGGTTTCCACCTAGAAGAAGGTAGCTCTCGAGGCGACGTACACTATCTAGATGTTTAACCTTAGAATAACTCCGGCCTTTACGACCCTAACGCGTCCCACGGGCGCGAAAGGGTTAAAGATGGAGGACGATAAAGCGACCATAGAACACTCTCAGCAGCACTTAGGATCGACTAATCTTTAATATAAACTCGACGGTAGTCCTTCTTAGACAGCGAACATAGCTGTCCGTCAGCCCGCTTAGGTGGAGATCGACTACTAATAGTAATTAATACTACTAGACAGCATAAAGAATTATAGAAAATTGCCCGCGTAGAGAAGGAGAAGAATAAACAATAATAATAGTTCTTAACGGAAGCGGGGACGCTAGGTAACGGCCGGATTAGCTAGGCGTACTAGTAGAGATAGACTAAGTATTATAGCCGATACTACATCTATATTTTAGTTAATAGCTATTAGGAATACCGTAAGAAGCTTTCTAGTAAGCATATTATATTAAGATTAAATCGATATATATTCTCGCCTATCCTATAGGTCGGATAAAGGAGTAGGACTATATTACTAGGAGTTCTCTCTCTTCTAGGACCGTAGAATAAGAACTAATCGATACTAAAACTATAAGGGTTTAGCTAGGAATTTAGAGTAATTTATCTAACTACCGTATAACGAGGATTTTAAAGCTAAGAAGAAAAAAGAAAAGAGAAAATCTATCTACTATACGAATAAAGGAAATACTTTCTACTCTCTCCTATAGTAGATTAGTATAGTTTTCTAGAAGATAATCGATAGAAAGAAGTTACGTAGCTTCGATTATATAGTTATATAGACTAAAGGTATACTATAAGTAATTACTTTTATTAAGACTAAGCGATACTCTATTAACGCCTAGTTATATAATTAGGCTTATATACGCTAGGATTATGTAGTATCTATTAGGTAAGGCTATACTTAAGCCTTACGGGAGATTCTATAAAACGCTATTCTATTCTATAGAATTAGAAATTACTTAACTTAATTTCTAAGTATTCTAGGAGTTAACTCGTATTTACGAATACTCGGTAATTACTCTCGTACTTACGAGATATTATAACGGAGCCTACGCCTATATAAAATAGGCCTATACTCCTTTACTTAGATAGATCTTAAGTTATTTAATAAGATAGGAAGCGACTATATATTCTACTCCTTCTTTCTACGGTCTTTAGCTACTTCTACTATAGATTCTAAACCTTATCCTCCGGATATTTTTTAATCGAGTTAAAAAATAAGAAGATAGGGTCTAAAACCTAATAGGGCTATAAATAAAAGGTAGAATATTATAAAGTATATAAAATATTATAATAACGGATAACTTTAACCCTTAATATTAGTACTCTAGTTAGTCTATAGCAATCTACTATAATATAGAAAATAGTAAATATTAAGTTAGTATAGAAGGAGAAAATTTATCTTACTTTTAGTACTTAGAAGTTAGTCTTTAAATAAGCTTAGCTATAAAGTATTAATTTTTCCTTTAGAATCTTAACTAAAGGTAAGTATTACGGGTTAAACTCGTAGGATATCTTGGTAAGAACTAGCGACGTCTAGATTCGATCGTATAGTTATATAGCCGATCGATATTACGTAATATTATAGATATCTTAGCGAGCGACGCTAAGACTAAACTAGCGATACCTAGACTCGACCGTATAGTTATATAGCCGGACGATATTACATAATACTAATAGTTACCTAGGATACCGGGCGACCTACCCTAGGAGACTATATTTCCCTATTAGATAGCGGTAGAACTTCTTTCTCTCTTTCCTTTAGCTTAACGTCCTTATTAAATAGGTTCTATAGTAGTTAAATAAGCTTCCTATTATATAGTTAAGAGAAAGAGTTCTTATTATACAAAATAGATATATCGATAGTACTAATAGAAGCTCTTCTATAGTAGGTAGTATAATTATTTTAAATAATTTAGATATAGAACGAATAAATAGTCGTATAGAATTAATATATAGTAGTACTAGAGTAGTAGCTCTAGTAGCGAAATAATAGTTAAGATATTACTATTCTATCTAGAACGATAATACTATTAGTAGTCGTAGCGAACGTCGTTACGGAAATCGTAGTCGTACGACGAAAGGATAACCGCCCGGAGCTATTCGAATTTAATAGAACGAGGGCGGTATTTCGCTTATAGTTAACGTAAGCGCGAGTAAAGCTCGTCGTTAATCGAGTAGATAAGAGTAAAGTCGTATAGTATTAGTACCTTTATAGTCGATTAAGGAGAAACGTATTCTCTTAACTATTATTATAGATTAACTTCGTATAGTTAACGCTATAGATAACTACTAAGGGCCTTATTAGCTAACTAAAGGCTATATATAACGATAGTAAGTTCGTAGAGAAAATATCGAGGAAACTCTTAACGCTACGATAAGGATTAAAAGCTTTTAGTACCTTCCTCGCTAAATTCGATCGTACGCTTCTCGACGTAGAAAGTCTTAACTAGGTAGATTAAGTTAAGAAGACGTTTCTCGCGAACTATATCTTATACGAGCTATAGAACGCGATTATAGCGGCGTCGATTCCGACGTCGTATCGAGAATACTATATACTTTTCTATAGTATTAGTACGAACTTAGAAGCTCTCTATAGAAGGAAGACGCGAGCTATAATACCTACGTACGAAATAAAAGGATTCTTCTCGACGGAGGACGTAATAGACTAGGAATCGTAGATAATAATCTAAGTAGCGACTATAAGACTTCGTTAACGAGTAGTCTAGGTAACCTAAGCGACTCTCGATTAACGTCGAGAAAAAGAATAGTATCTACGCTACGACCGACTAGGCTACTTTATCTAGAAATACGAGCTTAGGTCGGTCTAGCGACTACGAGAGTAGATAACGATAACGGCGATAACTACTACTAGAGATATAGAGTTAGCGTTAAACGAGATAGAGTAGTTAAAAGAGTAGCTTTTAATAAAAATCGTCGTTAAAAGTATACGAAGAAAATAGAATAGAAGTAGAGCGACTTTAAGAAGTTAATAGATAGTCTATCGTTCTTAGTATTTATACGAGTTAATTAAGAAGTTTTTATATTAGTACTAGTAGATATAAGTTATTTATCTTATAAACTAATTAATATTTATTTCGTTTCTCGTAATAGTCTTTAACGTATTCTAATTATTCCTCGCCTAATTATCGATTTTAGTACGAATATAAAGTTAAAAATTACGAATATTATTAAGTTAGAAATTAATCTTAATAATTATAAAGAAAATATCTTCCTTTATATAATTTTCGATATATCGTATAATATAATTCTCGGTCTTCTCTAGATAAAGAAGAATAACGTTTAGATTAGTCTACGAAAGGAATATCTATATATCGACCGCTTTAGTATTCGAATTCTAAATATACGATAAGAATAATATATTAAGCTAGATTTTATATTAATTTCGATACTAGCCTTCGCTATACTAGTATAACGCTAACGAAAACGAAAGTAGAAAGAAGTCGAAGTATTCGCTACTAGTCTAGTAAATATCGAGAAAGTATTAACGATAAAAGTTTCGATTAACTCTCGTATAAAGCTACCTAAGTACTTCTATAAATATCTTAATATATTTAATTAATTATAGACGAATTAACTTTCCTTTATACGAGGAAAAAGGATTAACTATAGTATCGAACTAGTAATAGAAAATAGAAAGACGCTCGAAGTTCCTTAGGAACTTTTATATAGTATATTTCGAGATAAGCTACTCGTTCTACGAAAGACTCTTATAGAACTATTCGATAAAGGCTTTATTAAAGTAAGTTCGTCGTTTACGATAGCTCCTATATTCTTTATATAGAAATCGAAAGATAGTCTAAGATTTTATATT